ACCACTGTTTCGACGGTATGTTGCGTTTTGGAACTTGCAGGCTGCCGCTGCAGCTGTGGGATGTCCATGGCTGTTATGCTATGGAGCTTGGGTGCTGGTGCTGCTGCTCTGTAGGTGTTGCTGTCAGGATCCATTGCAGTGTGCGTTTGGGAGCTGGGGTGCTGGCGCCGCCGCAAGGTGCTGCTGTTGCCCACAAATATCATTTGCCATCTGGGGTCTATGCTGGCGCATCTTTTGACACTATCGACACAAGTTACTGGAAGTGCGTGGACATTCTCTTTGCAGCTGCCAAAAAGGAGTTTCCCGCAACTTTGAATCTGCGGCTCCACAACACTTTCCCCACCATTGATCGTGGTGGAGGAAATCATCCAATTTTGGTTGTGGGTGGGTGCAGGTTTGTCTCAAGTGTCTTTGGTGTGTGTTGATTCAATGGCCGGGGGGGTGCCGAAATGCATTGAAACAGTTTGACAGTTTTTCAAGACGGTTCAGCCGGTCAAGTTTTGCATGATCAAAATGACTGTGGACATGTGTTCCTTGAAGAAGGGGATTTGTGCTGTTCGAACGACACAAATAAAAACAAATATCTGAGTTTTTAACCTCATGCCACAGCCAACATTGTTGGGTGCTACTATCAATGTTGGGTATTCAATACAAGAGCATGCTGAGATGCAGGGCAACGGTCTTGACTTGGCGGGTCTTTGTCAAAGCGAGCTGCAGATGGGTTTGGTGCGTCTCAATTTTTTACAGTAGAACCATAGCAAATTCAGTATGTTAAGTCTTGTACGTACATGATGGAGATACTCAAATTTGACTTGATAGACAGACACATCTGAAGCCATGGCTTGTGCGAAACCCAAATGTGAGAAACCGCTGGGTTCGCCCTACTTGGCGTGCAGATGCGGTCAAAGCTTTTGTTCAGAGGCATGTAGAACGGAGCCGAACGGTCGTCGAAACCGTTGCTCGTGCGCGAAGTCGTGTCGCTTAAGGAGTCCAAACATGAAACGGACCCCCCAAAACTCACTCATCAAATGGTCCTGAGGGCACAAGTGAGTGGACTCCCATTTTTTTTGTGTGTTTCAACTGTTACAGCATCAGCCAGCATTAAATCATCAAAGATAGCGGCTTCCAAGGCCATGGGGACACAGCAGTTGTTTGAACCTGCAGCTACTTGAGTTTTGATCTCTATCCGTGGAGAACCAACAAGGCTGTTTACAGTGCTTGGCTACACACACAATGGTTTTCTCTTGCATGGTCAAAGGCTCACGGTTTTGAAAAGACTTTTGGTTGAACGCATTCTACTTGGGTGAACGGGCTGGGAAGTGAAGAACACATTCGGATTCATTGACTCAATTGGAGGCTTGCTTTGTGGCTGTGTGGCACAGCAAGCATTCTCGGCAATGTCCCAATGCCGAAGACATCAAGAAGGACTGGACCAGGTTGAGGTTTGCCTCATGCCCCTGCCGTCTTCCCAACATGAAAGATTGCCCCTGCCGTCTTCCCAACATGAGGAGATGATGGAGAAGGCCGGTGGCCCACAGGGCATGCTAAAGAATGGTGCGAAATTGTTGATGGCCGTGGCCGTGACAAAGCTTTTTGCGGCCGATGTCTCAGCTGACTTGAAAGAAGTTTCAAAGGCAGGAGGAGAAGAAGAACCAGATATTCAGCATGGGAGCCTTGACCCCAGCCTGGAAAAAAGTCTCCGTTCAGAGTGTGCAGAACTGCGGGAAGCGCACGCAGCAGCGGAAGAGATGAAATCTCGGCTTCAAGTACGTGTAGCCACTTGTCAGCAGGTGAATGAATAAACAACCGATGTTTCCAAAGAAGAGGAGCGGCTGTAACTGATTGTTGTTTGTGTCGTCGCGTGACGTTCAAGAAAATCCTTGAGGAAGAGTTGGACCGGGAGTTCACTGACTCTTCTGAGCGGCTGCAGCTGGCACTTCGTGAGGTTTCCCGCTTAGAGAAGCAGCTCCAAAGCATGGAAGGAGCAGCTCGTGACCAAGGGAATACCCAGCAGCTGCAAGCAGAGGTAGCAAAGCTCCGTGTTGAGAACACAGCGGCTTGGCTGTGGAACTGGCATGCTTTGGCTGTGCCCCCAAAAGGACCTTCTTTGAGACATACTTGGCGGCTGCCAAGTAGGTCGTCAAGTTGGCCTATGTGGGTGGGTTGGGGGGTGGCGGGGTTTGGATGCGCCAACGGTCCGCTTTCCCAAAGAAGACCTTGCCCAACCACCCGACGAGATCGTGGTCGATCTTTTCGTCACTGAGGACATGTGGAGAGATGTTGCAGGTCTGCGTGCGGAGAACAATGATCTCAAGGATGACCTTGGTGAGTTGAAGAAATCCCTTCGCCAGGCAGAAGAAGCCCATCGCCAGGCCGTAAATCGTGCAGACGTGGCCGAAGAAGAGTTGAAAGCCAATGGCCAAGGGGAGCAAGCGCAGCGCTTGGGTCACCAACTTGAGGAGAAAGAGCTGGCTTGTACAGAGTTGCAATCAGAGCTTTCAAAAGCACAGCATGATCATGAGGAGACGAAGGGTTTTTGTGCTGCAATCCAACACGCAGAACAGCTTGCCAGGGAGGAACTTGCATCTGCGACTGAAGACAAGAATCGCGTTCATGAAGAGAGCCAACGATTCCTCAACGAGGCTCAAGTTGCAGTATCAGCACGTGATGAGCTGCAGGGGGAGTTAAGATCAACGGTGCAGGAACTCCAAAGTATTCAGGAAGAGAAAGGGCGCATGGTGCAGGCTGCCTGCGCTTTGCGGTCAGAAAGAGATGATTTGGTGACGCAGATGAACTCCGCAGCAGAGAGGCTGGAGCAAACGGAGGCTGAACTCAGTAGAGTGGCTCGTGAAGCCTGCTCTTCCGAAGAGTTGTGTGAGAGATTGGACGGGGAGAGGTGTAAGCTAATGGCCAATTTGGAGGCTGCTGAGGATGCAAGTCAGAAGCAAGAGGTCGAGAACGAGCAGCTTCACAGCGAGCTTTACTCCTGCAAAGAAACACAACAGAAGCTGGATGCAGAGCTAAAGAAGGCAGTAGAGGGGCGCGCCCGATGTGAGGAGGATGTCTTAAGGCTCCAGACAGATCTTAAGCAAGCTGAAGAGGAACGGCAGACGTCGAAGCAGAAGATGGAGCAGCTCTTAGAGGAATCAATGTTCTGATGTTGATTCTTGCTGAAGCCTTGCAAAACACCGGTGCACACGTTTCTGCTGTTTCCATCCTTGAGCAACCCAGTGTGAAGGTGCTAAATTGCACCCGCTGGTCTTGCCGGTTTCAATGCTAGCTGCCCACTACCCACATCCTTCTGATGGGCCTTTTGTGACCACAGCTGAAGTGCAATGGGAGACGAAGACCAGGTAGACTACAGAGCTGTAGCACCTACCACTGTAGCCTCTTCATTTCCATGATTCTTCTTTTCCTTTCTTTTCTTTCTTTCACTGCAGGAGTTGCGTGTGGCCGAACGGCGCCACGAGCGCCAAGAAGAAGAATGCAAGAAGCTCAAGGAAGAGTGGGCGGCGGAGAGAAGCAACACTCAGGACTGCCAGGGTGACTCTTTTTTTGCGACTCGTTGTAATCAAGATTTTAGTCTTTTTCCTCAAGTGTGGTGACTGGTGACCGGTGGATGGCATGGTCCTTCCTTTTTTCAAGACGCTCCAAACGGGTTGGACACTCCCTGGAACTCACATGGATAACGCGGATGCCCATGGCCCGATGGAAGACCATGAAATCCCGTGTGCCAAGAAATAAGAGAAATGATGAAATACTCTAGCTGAGCAGGCATGACGACTGAGAAGTGTGGGAAACATGATTGCCATGCAATTGCCATGCAATTGCCATGCAATGCCTTTGGAGTCAAAACCAGACTGTTTGTTCTGGCCGACACTGTTCTTGTCGAGGAGTGGAGAGCATCTTGGACAAAACTTGAGAAATGTGCGTCACTGAAACCGCACAGAGAGGGACGCACAAGAGTGATCAGAGAGTATTGGGATGTTGGATGATGTTGGTATGTTCTGATGACTTTGCAAATCATGGATACATCTTCTTATCAATGCTTTGAGTTGATGCCATTTTTTCTGAGGAATTCATTCTGGAAGAACAAGATCGAAACCGATCACTGCATGAGCAGCTAGCAGAAGCCGAGAAAGTGAAATTTGAGGTGCGTCAATTGCCAAGTCAAACACGTCACGTGTGCATTACCAAACAAAGCAAAGAGCAGGGTGGTTTTCAGAGAACGGTTTTCCCGCATGAGGCACAGAATGCTGAAGCGCATCATAGACGTTTGAGTGAGCGAATGCAACGTCTGTTGCAAGAAGAACAGAACAAAGGAGCCAAACTTCTGAATTGTTCTGAATTGTTTCGCAGCTGCATCACAGGTGAGTTGTGAAGAGCAAGGTCTTGCAGCAAGGTTGCTGTTTGACCAGTGGACCAGGGAAGTGCTGAGAACATAGAGGCCTTAGACTTCCTTTCCAATTTCCCATTCCTTGGACAGCCCTTAGTATGCCTAAGCACTGGGAGCATGGATGTCTATTTGCGGTCCCAGGGCAGCAACCACTTCCGCCCCCCACTTCCGAGTCAAACGCCGCGGCGACGCGTCTCGCGGACGCGGACCTGGAGCTTTCCACCTGGCATTTGGCTTCAGCAAAGGGTGGCTTCGGCCCATCGCACCAAATAGGTTTTTTCAGGCGTAGAAGGGGGCGACTCGAGTGACTTGGACCGCGTTTTGAGCCAAACGAACGACCAGAATACGAGCTGATTTAAGAGAAAAAACACAATCTTTTTTGAGTCACAAATCGCAATACATAGCAATGGCCTCCAACCTACTAGCGATGGCCTTCAACCTAGCAATGGCCTCCAACCTAATAGCGATGGCCTCCAATCTGATAGCAATGGCCTCCAACCTAATAGCGAAATTTTTGTGCATTGAGAAAAAGAACAACCGGCAACTTGTGGCGATGCGTTCTGCAGCGCGGTGGAGCTCGCTGGTTCACAGTGGAGCTGAGGCCATGACGACGATGGGAATCAATGGCTTCGGCCGAATTGGGCGCCTGGTTTTTCGTGCAGCCGTAGAGAATCAAAGTGTTCCGTGGAGATGAAGAAGTTCTTGTTGCAATTTGCCTCCATCATTGACCTAGCAGATGATTGGCTGACTGGTGAAGACTTTTTGGGGTACTTTTCAATGAATGCTGAGGTTACAATGGTTGCTGTTAATGATCCCTTTATGGACTTGGACTACATGCAGTATCTCTTGAAGTATGACTCCGTCCACAAGAGGTTTAACGGCACCGTCACCACCAAGAAGGCTTGAAGATTTACTCTGTGGTGTGGCACTGTGACGCAGCAGTTGTACAACAGATTTCTTTTTTTAGTGCCTTCCTTGTTGATACAAACAGGGAACACAAGATCCATAACAAAATATAGTTAATATTTTTTCAGTGAAGCTTTATATTCGCGCCGAGCTTTGGTTTTCTCACTCAGCGCCGTGGCAGGAGGGCACTGAGGAGTATTTGGTCGTCAATGGTTTAAAAGTGCGGGTCTTCCACGAGAAGGATCCGGCTCAGATCCCTTGGGGCAAAGTCGGAGCCAAGTACGTCTGTGAGTCGACCGGCGTGTTCTGCGACAAGGAGACCCGATTATGTTTTTCCATTGCTTTGCATATTAATACATTTTCCATATATATATATGTACATGCACTCTCTCTCTCTCTATTTTCTTGTGGTGCTTTCTTTTTTCTTCTTTTGAACATAATTCATTTTTTGGCCCCATCGCCAAGAGTCGTTGGCGGTGCTTCGATACATGGCGGTGCGAGTTTCGCGCGTTGCGTCAGCTTGTTTGTGCTTAGTTGCGTGGTGTGAAATGCAGGAGAAGGCGTCGAAGCACTTGAAGGGTGGATGCATGAAGGTCATCATCTCGGCTCCTCCCAAGGAGAGATTGGACATTTTACCGGATTGGATGACGTTTGTTTTGGAGATCGGATTGGACGAACCAACCTTTTCTTCCCGTTTTGTTTCCGTCTCTTCCTTTTTCTTCCCGTTTTCGTTTTCCAGCGCGAAGAAAAAACAAAAATCACCAAAAGGACATGCAGTCAACGGTCGACGGCCTGGCGGTCAGGACAATACCCCGATGTTTGTGATGGGTGTCAACCAAGAGAAGTACACCAAGGCCGAGTCCGAAGACTGTCCAAAGCAACGGGACTTGACCAGAAGTCAACGTGACTTGGCACCTTCTGCCGGGGGGCGGGGTGTTTATACTGCTAATAGCAGCCTCCAACCTACTAGCGATGGCCTTCGTAAGAGCGATGGCCTTCAACCTGCGACAGGATTTGGAGGTGGTCTCCAATGCCTCTTGCACCACCAACTGCCTTGCTCCACTGGCAAAGGCGCTGGGCCGGGACTGGTGGCTCGAGCGTTGGGGGCGGGAAAGCGTGGGAAATGCTGAATCTGCAAGACCGCTCGAGCGTAGATCTTCAGCCCGAAGATCAGAGACCCCTCAGGTTTCAGCGGAACATCTCAAGTAACAGGATATCTCGAAGCAGTTGGGCAAGTTGCCTTGTCAGAACACACACACACACACGTTGCGTCTAGCTCCAAGGTTTGGCGTGGCTTCTGGTGAGCAGAAGCACTGAAACACTCTCGACCTGGTACGACCTACCTCAAAACAACCGGCAACACCTTCGGTAGCCAGCTCCGTGACCTCTCATCCTCCGAGATCCAGCCTCCGTGGATGTCGAGACGCTCGGGTGGACGTCGAGTGAGGTGATCAATGACAGCTTTGGCATTGCTGAGGTCGGGGGCCATTGAAGATGTCGATGTGGTTGATGTGGTCGGCGATCGATGATCTTCCCTGCAAAACAAATCTGGAAAGAGGACATTTCAGAAACAAGTTCTGGGCCAGTTCCAAGGTGGCACTTGAGATGCTTCACAGAACTAAGTGGTTGTTTGTGAAAAATCCCTTCCAAGACCATGAAAAAATAGGGTTGACCTGGTATTTGCAGTGTAAACATCCTTAGCAAAACATTTGTTGTCTTCAGAATTCCGGCTATTCAATGGTGGGCAACCACACTCCTCGGGTTTTTGGGGTGAAAAACCGATCTCCGATCCGCATCCGATCTCCGTGCGGTGCGTGCTTTTGGTGAGGTCACTCGTCGGCGGGTTTTTTCAACACGGGTTGGGTGTTTTCAATTGGTGCCCTTTCCTTTGGCCTGAAGCTGGAATCAACATTCTGGGGTAAATTTATATAAAGTATACTATCCCCCATCCATCCAGCCATCCAGGTCAAGATTAGGTCCTAGACGGACCTGAAGTAAGGGAGGGGCCTGCCTGCGGATATGCCGGCGACTCAAGATGCCTACGAAACAAGGCCGCTTCTCCCAACCCCCGACCTCAAACCTGAGTGACCTCACCCCACCGACCACCCAGAACTATGCTCTCTCCCAAAGGAGCGGGGTCATCCCTGGGGCTCGCAGCTTTGAGCGTCCTTTTCAGGGCCTCATGACCACGGTGCATGCGATGACGGCCACGCAGCTCACAGTGGATGGTCCATCTCGTGGTGGAAAGGAAGCAAGGGTTGGGTGCCCATGCCATCGTGGCATGGGCAACAGTGGGTCAGTAGCTTCTGTTTTTTTTAAACCTCCCCACAGCCGGATACGGCCGGCGGGTGTGCTTTCAGACTGGGCTGGCTTTCTCGTAGGACTGGCGTGGTGGGCGCTGTGCTTCGGAGAACATCATTCCATCTTCCACAGGAGCCGCCAAGGCGCTGGAAAGCTCCAGAGTTGAAGTGTGCAGCTGCAAAGTTCTCTGATTTGTCAGGCAGTTGGCAAGGTCATTCCGGCCATGAATGGTAGATGCCTCAGATTTTTGTTGCTTGGTTCTTCAACCTGAAACATGGAAGCGTTGAGCATCTCACCTCCCAAAAGCTTTCGTGGAGTCCTTCGATTTTCCAGAAAAACCAGGCAGCTTGACTCCGGTCCGGTGGTACCTGAGGCAAGCTGACGGGCATGGCCTTCCGAGTACCGACTCCTGATGTCTCGGTCGTGGATTTGACCTGCCGCTTGGAGAAGCCGCTTGGCGCACGGCAGTCGGAGCGGTCGGCCGTCGGTGGCCGGCTGGCCTGGTCGGTGCGTTCGGCGAAGTCAGGCCAGCCACCATGGATGAGATCACTGCGGCAATCAAAAAAGCAGCTGATGGCGGGACATGTGTGACAATGTCTCAGCAGATCGGCGCTGTTTTTGCTTCTTCGCGTTTGAGCTTGGAGAATCAAGAACAGCCCTCGGCAGGCCCGATGAAAGGCATTTTGGGCTTCACTGATCACGAGGTGAGGATGGATCAACATGTGTTTAGAACGTGTTCAGCTGTTCAAGTGGGACAGTGGGTGTGTATGTTTTAAAGGGAGACTTCCCAGTTCGACCCATTGAAAGAAAGACAGACCAGTCCACCCATTGGGCCAGGACATCTCCTTATTCAAATACACACGGCTTGACCTTCCGCTTTGCGTGTTTTTTCACCCGTGACAGTCACGGCGTGACTCTGACCTCCTTTTGATAGGAGGCCTTTTCTTGGACCCTCCAAAGCATCCGTCGCTACTCTCAGATTCTAGGGAACATTGGAAACTGGCCACACTTGACATCACACTTCTAAGATATTCCATCCATTTCCTGTAGGCTGCTTTCCAGCGCTCCTTTTTGCACCCCAGAACTTTTTCCGGGCTCTCGACGGAAACATCCTCTAAGCAAAACCCCTTTTCTACCACAGGTGGTGTCCACCGACTTTGTCACGTGTGCCTATTCCTCGATTTTTGTCCTTCCCTCAGCTTGGACCCGTGACCGACGACCCAGGACGACCTGACCGACGACCCAGGACGACTTGCAGAACTGTCCTGTCTCGGCTGAGGACAAGACTGCCTGCATCGCGCTCAACGACAAGTTCGTGAAGCTTGTGTCTTGGTATGCCCTGTCCTTGGGTCATTTCCAACCTTGGCTTCCTCATTGGCAACAGGTTGTCCATGAGCTTGACGGAAAAAGAGCTGCCAGGACAATGAGTGGGGCTACTCCAACCGTTTGGTCGATCTCGCAGTGCACATGTCCCAGGCGTGACAAGCAAACCGTACAGCTGACCTCATGAGGGCTACAGCTGACCCTGATCGAGAAAGTTGACCCTTTTGCAGGTAGATGGTGTCATTCCACCTCCAGCCAAGATTGAGAGCATCAAGGCTCCGTTTGCCGAGTCTCTGGCAGAGGGGCAATATGCACAGTGCAATGATGCGAGGCTGAACACATTCCCAGCAGCAATAGAATCCATCCACACGGGAGATGGAACATGTGAAAAGATCACCTGGACATGGTTTCCCTATTGATATTTATTACTTCCTATTTGTGCTTCATGAAACACTTGCACAACCCCAGCCAGAAATGTTTTTCGGGCACGTGCACAACCTCGGGACGTGTTTTTACGGCCCTACGGCCCAGGCACGCGAGATCTTTGATTCGCGCGGAAACCCCACGGTCGAGGCGGGATTTCTTTTCTTTTTCAGACTGTCCAGCCGCAGGTTTTCTGAAGGTCTCCCCCAGACATGGATTGTAAAGCCTCTTCAGGACAGGGGGGTATATGATCTTCATCAAGAGTCAGTCTCTTTGGTTTCATGTTTACGGGCACTGTGACGAAGTAAAAGGTTCTAAAAGTTCTCTTAACATCTCTCAACTGGCCATGTCTTTTCACCCTAGCAGGATGGATTTTCGCTGCCACACTGGCCACTCCCAATGGTCGAAGCTACTTTTTGGCACTCCCAAGCCTGTCCCGTTTCGCTCGTCCCTTGTTCCATCTTGTTCCTTTCAGTGGGTCAATAGGACCAGTCGAGCTCCCGACTTCGAGGGCTCACCTTCGTCGACTGGTTCCCTCGCTCGTCGCTCGCTCCGCAGGTCGACCTGGTCACGAACGTCGGGCGGCCGAGGGACGTTGCGCTGAAATCGCCCGCGGCCGAGGGACATTGCGCCTGTCCCCAGGTGGAGGAAGGTTTTTGAGATGAGAAGAAGGGGCAACCTTCAATGCGGTTCGAAGTGGGAGCGGTGTTTTTGGGTCCCACTTCGGCACCTCCCCTTTTTTCCATGTCGACTCTCCAAACCCAGCTTTCAGTTCCCCCAAAGCGATGCACGCCGCTCGACGACCCCCCCGGACCGCCGCGTTTCGTGAACGGCCGGTCGCGGCGGAGTGGCCGGTCGCCAGGACCATTTGTTCCGCGCCGCCGTCCCGAGCGGAGCCTCCACGGGCATCTACGAGGCGCGTGTGGCGAATAGCGCGCCGCGGTTGGGGTGAAATATCGGGTTGGAAGAGTGGGATCTTGCGGATGGAGACAATTTTAGCTGAGAATTCTAGGGGGCATGAGGTGGAGCTGCTTAAGCTTGGAGTTCTTTCGACTCCAAGTCGTCGACGAACCGGTTCATTGAGGCCTTGGAGCTTCGAGATGGAGACAGCAAGAGGTTACTTGGAAAAGGTGTGCTGAAGGCACGAGTCTTGCTGCTTCACCACCACTGAGTCCGCTGCTGAGTCTTGCCCTGTCTGAAGAGGCCGTCCAGAATGTGAATGAGAGAATCGCACCAGCTCTCGTTGGCATGGATGTCACCAAGCAGAAGGAGATTGACAAGAAGATGGACTGGAGCTCAGTTGAGTCACAGAGCTGGAGCAGCTGGACTGGAGGTCACTGGGTGAAAAGAGGCGGAGCTTCAGCTGGCTTAGAGCTTGGCAGATGGCTGTGCCCCTGACTACGCGGCACTCAGGTAGAGCTGCTGGATGGCACTCAGAATGATTGGGGTTGGTCCAAGGCCGATCTGTGGATTCCGGAGTGTGAGACTGTGTAGGTTGTACGCGTACCTGGATTCCGGGATCTTGAGGTGGTTGCCCAAACAGAAGAAGTGGACAAGATGTGGATACTTAATACTGATGTTTACTGGGTACCTTCTCAAATCCAAGTTCCTTTGAGTGGGGAGACCCAGGGACCATGTAATACCCAGCCGAACGTGCACATGGTCACCGAGTACGAAGAGTACGAAGTACAAACAGGGGTACCAACTTCCATGTTTCTGGGATAGAAGGTACATATAACTCGCAAGTCCAAGTCGACCTTTATCAAATGGCCCGTGAATTGGTGACTCGAGTGGACTGGAATTTCCTGGAACCGGCCAAATCGTCGACCTGAACACTAGATGGTGATCTATATGGGCATGTGTCAAAACCTGTAGCCCAACCAGTCCGCCATGCAGCGAACGACCCTTCCACCAGGTCAACCAAGTTCTCCTGGTCTTTGACCCGCAGCTATTTGTCTAAAAAAAGGTAACCTCTTCGTTCCACTTGACCAGGAGTCACAAACGGGTGGTGTTTAGTCCCATCCAGTGAGTGGATGTTCTGGGCACTCCGACTTCCTCCAAGTTCGGTCCTGCCAGTCCAGCCTCGGTGCCAATGCGATCCTGGCGGTCTCGATGGCGGTGTGCCGCGCCGGGGCAGCTTCCATGGAAATGCCCGGACGCTCGTTGCGCCGTGTCAACCAGCGACTGAAGGAGCAGCACCTGAGAGAGGGAAGAATGTGGTTATCTGTATATAAAATATAACAATATATATGTAATATATGCTTGTATTTTACAGTTTATTATATGAGATCGTACTCACCCCTGCCCCATGGACCTACATTCCGGTTCAACAGTTGCCGGTGGTGTTTGGGATGTCTTCTTTCAGTGAACTTCCTTAAATCAGAGTGCTGACCACTGGAAGGGTTTCAGCTGCCGATTTGCCTTGACCCAGGCCTTTATACCAGTACTTGTCATGCCTCTCTGGCAGACCCACTGATAGCTATGTGCTTGCCTGAGTTCAGTTGCTGTTCTTTCAGCTCTTCTCCACCAGTGAAGCACCACATGGAGCACCTTTGAGGTCATGCCAGTTCCGTCCTTCAATGTCATCAACGGTGGCAGCCATGCTGGAAATCGCTTGGCATGCCAGGCCTGTCGCCTGTCTTCCACCACACCATTGAGACGCGAGTTTCGCGTCTCCCCACCTTCCACGTCCCGTCCTCCAAGAAACTTCGCTTTTGACGCCGGTTGGGGCGGCTTGGCTTGGGCCCCATCCCCGACGTCGGTGCCTTCGGATCACCTGGCACCCACAACACGGGGCACACACCCAAGGCGTGGCTGTGTTCGCCGTCGTTGCAGGAATTCATGATCCTCCCAGTGGGAGCCAAGTCCTTCAGAGAAGCGCTGTGCATTGGTTGCGAGGCGGGGCGTGAGACTGTTTCGTTTTTGATTTTGGGAGATTGACAATTTGGACCGTTGGGTAGTTTTTGTTTGCTTGGTCGATGTGGGTGTGTATGAAAATAGGGAGACCTCCCAATTCGACCCCCTGGAGGAAGAAAACTAGACCTAAAGCCATTGGTTTGGGGTCTCCCTATTAAAAAACACTCCCATGCCCATGTTCATTTATTGCCCAGCCTTCCACGTTTTATTCTGATGCATTTTGAAGGTTTATCACTCGTTGAAGAGCTGCATCAAGAAGAAGTACGGACAGGTGCACTGTTCAGAGTGTTTTTTGCCGGACTTTCTTGTGGCCAGAGATCTTGCCTGATTTTGCAATTCCTTGCAGCCAAGGATGCCTGCAATGTGGGCGATGAGGCTTGCAAGACCAGCTTCTTCAAAAGTAATCAACATGTGCATTGCTTATTTGTGACCTCAAATCAACCAGGGCACGATTCGTGACCTGGCTTCTGTGTTTGGATTTGTCGCTGTTCGCCGCGCACCTCGAGACCGGAACTCGGGTCGCACTCGGGTCGAACGTCGGCCGGCTCGACAGGGTGGATTTGCGCCGTCAGTTCAGGACAACAACGAGGCGCGGCGCCCTCCCCCCCCGCGCCCCGCGGATCGCCCACTTTTATTGGGGTCTGGAAGCGAATCGCGGCCCGTTGGTCCTGAAGGCCAAGAGGTTTTGACATGGGCCGCGGCCGCGTGTTGTTTTTGTTTTTTTTTTTTGGGACAAATGGGACACCTCCTGCCGGACACCTCCGAGCTAATTGAAAAACGAACTCTTCTGATCGCTTGCTGGGAGTCTGCAGGGTTTACTGCCAAGGCGCTGGATGTTCTCATGGATGCCATTGAGAAGTCTGGACACAAAGACAAGGTGCTTCTTGCTTCTGAAGACACATTTTCCATGCCTGTGACGACATGCGCTTCAATGAAAACAAACCTTTCAGGTGAAGATTGGAACAGATGTGGCTGCATCTGAGTTCTACAAGGACATCCGAGTGAAGTAGCGGTTCGGAATCGAGCCAAGAACTGTCCAGTTCTTCGACTCCTGTTGTTCTTCTCGTGGAGTCCCTCCAGTTCTTAATTTGATTCATGTACACCGACCCTGTAGATCCCTGTAGTCATCATGATGGAAGCGGAGTTCACCGACTATTTGAAAATGGTCATCCACCATCTTCCCATCCACTGCTTACCATCGTGACTTCTCCCGCGTTTTCCGCACGTCGACCGGCGAAGACTCGAGACCCGAGCCCAAGCAGTCCACCATGCGGGCCGCGTGTCCGACCCGAACCCACGTCGGTAGAGAACAAGCAAGGTCTCCTGGTGCCATGACCCACAGCCACAGGCATCTTGTTTGTCTGGTCATTGAGCTTGAGACGACGACCAGATACGAGCAGAATCCTTGACGTCAAGGAGCACGAAATCCCCACAAATCCTTAAGCCAGACATCTGGGACCCAAAAACTCCACGAGTTTCTTTGTCTGACCAGAGTGCACTAGAAAACTGACGGGACAGAACCCATACCGTATGGCCCATACCTTCATTTTCCATCTATAAATCTTGCACAGTTGGAAGACCCAGGCATAGCGGCATCTCTAAAGACCCCAGGCTTCTCCAGAATTTACTCCCAACGGGCTGCCCCGCCGGGACTTCCCTTGCAGCAATGTGCAGCGCTTTTTGTGCAGTGCGCGCTACACAGCAAAAGAACTTGCTCGTCGGTGTGTTTGTCGACGGTGTAGGATGGCAAGTATGACTTGGACTTCAAGAACCCTGCTAGCAAGGCTGCTGATTGGAAGACAGGAAGCCTTGAACCTCAGGAAGACAAGATGGCATTGAAGGTTTCTGCAAAATATGATTTGAGTGTGTTTTCCTATCACTTTGGCTTCAACTCCTGGAAGCCCGAAACAGGTTGACCATTTGCTGCAAACGTTGAAGAACAGTTTTGTTTTTTGACTCGCTGGACTCCGCGTCCTTTTGAGGCCAGATGGCAGATTATTATCAGGCCCAGACTCATGGTTGGACTGTGTTGAAAGACACCCCCAGACTGATGGGTTTTAACCACTTCAAACCTGCTAACAGGTTGACATCTGTTGAAGCCGTGGCGGTATGGGCTCGAGCTGTTCGATCCTTTCCACCCCGGACGCTGTCGGATCGAACAGAGAAAGCGGTTCGAGCTCCCGGTGAGGTCGACGCGGACTGTTGAGCTGGGCTTTGGTCATGTGACTAAGCGTGATGCTTCCGGATTTGGAGCTAGGCCCCCCAAAAAACGGCCCATGACCCTCAGGTGACTCAGGTCGGCTGAGAAAAGACCTCCGGAACCGGATTCATCCCACTCCATGGCCCCCCAAAGCGGGCCCTCCATGGGGGTTGGACCTGACACCCACCGAACCAGGGTCACTGAACCACCACCGAAATCCGGAGAAGCACTCGGATTCGCGGGGGGCCAATGGTAATCTTTAGGATTCAAACCGAAATCGACGGGATTCATCCCAAGTGTCGGTTTCCTCTGGCAGGCCTGGTTCGCCAAGTATCCCTTCGTCTCGATCGAGGACGACGAGACGATTTTTGACGTTTTTGGGCGCGGAAGAAGTTTTCTTTCTGACCTGCACCATCCATTTGGAGTGGTGATTGGAAGGACAATACACAGTCAGGGATGTCATCCAAATCCCTTCAAAACTTTTTATGTGACATGTGACATTTTTTTTTTTTTTTAAAGTTTATTATGATGATGATTATTACTATCTGTTTATTTACTTTTTTTGTTTAAATCAGGTGAAAGGAGCAATCTAATTCATCAAGACCTACCGGGTTGATCGTTTCGGCATTCTGCAGGACCCCTTTGACCAGGATGACTGGGCAGCCTATGCCGAGTTCAACAAGAAGTGTGGCAAGGAGATCCGGTTCTTTGTTGGGTGGATGATCTCTTGGATTGCAAAGGGAACTCAGGGAACCATGTTTTTTGTCTTTGGAACCATTTTTTTAGCCAGCCGACCATCGTCGTGACTTGGCTGGGTAGGGTCATCGAAAGAGCTTTCACGGAGGTATTGATCAACGGAGTGGAACAATGGAACTCTTGCGCAGGATGTCCAGATTGTCGGTGATGACTTGTCAAAGACCTAGTTCAGCGTACATCTGGGTGCTAGGACCGCTAGGATTTTGGCCTAAATTTAAATACATGTGTATATATATGTATATGCTCCTCTAACTGTGATTCGCGTATGCACGTCTCAAGCTTCATGTTTAGTTTGGGTGCTGCTGCTGAGGGACTGACTGCCCTTCTTTCTTTTAGCAGCAGCTTGGCTTGTCCCGTGCACTGTCACCCATCACTCTTCCTGCCTCTCCTCACTGGTCTTGCTATTGGCATTCTCATTGGCCTTGCTTTGGGCTTTTGGATCTCCTTGCAATTGCTTTTTCCTCGGTCGGTGCTATCTCCTGAAATCCCCGCTCGACAGCCTACGGACATCAGGAGACGACCTTCTCGCTTGGCTGGCTATTTGCATGAGTGAACCCAGCTCTTCAGGTGTGCAAGACCAACTTCGAGCACTTACAGAAGCCATCCAGGCTTTGACTTTGGTGGTGGAGAGGGGACAGGGTGAGGGTTTGGAAGCCGCCCCCAGAGAGGCTACTCCAGTCTCTTCCCTCTCAGGCTGGCAGCTGGTGGAGGATAGTGCACCGATTTCTGGGGCTCCCAGTGGGTATCCTCGAAAGGATCCAGTTATTCTTTTCGAAGAAGGCCCTCCAGACACTCCTCAGTTCTGCTACGACATAGCCAAGAAGCACCTGTCCTCCTCGAAGGCTCATTCAACAGACAGGGCCCGAGCGTCCTTTGTGGCAGGGTTCTGGGCAAGAGCATTCTGGAAGTGTCACACCGAATATCACAGTGAATACAGGCCAGGCTTGCCGGCTGTTCATTGGGTGCTTCGAAAAGGGAAAGGTTTTGATTTGCTGCGAGTGACCTCCCAACGAGATTGTGATCGGTTGACTGCAGATTTTGAGGATATAGTCTTTGTGGAGAAGCTCCCCTCGCTCACCGAGTTGCACATCTTCTGTGCAGGGGCATCCGTTCCTGTGCCACCCCTGTGGCGATGGAGCGGAGATCGCTGAAAGATGCAGCCACGAATTCAGATCCGACGCTGTTGATCCTCACAGTTCCCGCAGAGATGTCATACAGTGCCGGTGAATTGCAAGCCTTTGCCTCACCTCTCATTCTCAGGAGAGGAGGGCTCATGCTGGCCCTTCCTGTAGGAGTGATTCGTGAAGATCTCCTTCTACAACCGATTGGGGCCGGCGAAGAAGAGATGTTTGGACCTTCCCGGACCTTTGAGGTGGAGCTGACAGACGAAGATGAGCATGGATCTGTGTTTCATACTGGGATCCGTGCTGAGGTGTTAGTGGCTGACTTCACTGACGAAATTCTACGTTACTGTCGTGAGTATGATCCTGTGGTTGATTCTCTTGAAGAAATTTCCCCTTACAGTGAGGGATTTGCCACAGGGCTTCCCGTGTTTGGGGATCTGCTCACAGCTATCCACAATTGGGCCGAGGAGGAGACAGTGGGCCGTGTGCATTTTTACAGCGCTCGAGAAGAGCAAGATGTCAGACCTCCAGCCCTACGGAAGACACCAGCCAAGAGAGTGACAAATGCTTCCCTCGCCGAGCAAGTGGCAGCTCTATCAGCTCAGGTGGCAGTGTTGTCCGCTCGACAAGAGACAGCCCCGAGGGAAGTTCCTCCTCTGCCCAAACCCGGCCAGGCTTCATTTGCCACTCCTGCGACAGAGCCAGGACCTTCGGCGGGCATAGGCTACCGAATGCCCCCAGTCTCAGCAGGACTGCAAACCCCGGCACGGCTTTCTCCTGCAAAGGCGATGCAGTTGGTGGGCACCCCTCCAAAGACCCGTACAGGTCCCAGCAGTGGCCTTGCCCTAGCAGTGCCAGACGAACCAGTGGACCCCCTTCGAGCCCCCAAGGACCCTACCGAGTTAGCCTTGAGTCAACAGTCGGCCGCTTTGACCACTCTTGTGGCACATCTCATTCAAGGGAACGACCCCTTCGGGTTAGAAGCGAGTTCATGGGGCTACTACGAGTTCCACAAAAGGCACAATCAGAAGGGAGAAGCTCCAACAAGATTTGGCAGCACGCCAGTCCCAGTTTTTCCTCTTGGTGCAGCAGCAAGTGTTCAAGAAATTACACCCGTCCAGCATGTTGCCCAAGAACGAGGAGGAGTTGCAGGCAAAAGGAGCCTCCCTGCTGACCTACCTGGAGCGATATGGGGGCTACAGGAACCAGAAGGAGGCAGGTCTGTGCATGTGGGTCCTTGCCCACGCCATGGATGCAGCAGCCGCTGGCGACTTTGTGGCTACCAAAGAGTTCTTAGCTCTGGGCGTCATGGCACTAGAGCAGTCTGTGTTCGATGCGGGAGATTGGGGCCTCGCCTATGTACTGGCACTAATCGAGGACCCTCCTCCTACGATGTTCCAGGACAAGATGGCATCTCTCACAGCAGCGGGCAGACCGTTCTCCCCGTTGGTGCCTCCAGCTTTGGCATCGATCAACCTTGCCTACCTAAAGGAGATAGACCTTCTTCAGTCCAGGAAAGCGGATGCCAGAGGCAAGAAACCACAAGGGACAAAAGGGGAGGAGGACAATTCTTCACCCTCCCCAAGGAGGAAGCCAAAGTGTCCGAAGAAGCCAAAGGCCCTCACCGACGGGTGAGGAACATACAAATGGAGCCTGAGTCAGAATTCAATCCGAGGTCCAATGGAGCCTCTTCTGCAGGGACTGGCGATCCTGGGAGGGACCTGCCGAGCACGAGCTCCAATCTCCAGTTTGGAGAGAGCTCACCGCTCATAAGGCCTCCCCGCTCCCCATTGCTTGAGGGTGATCGAGTGGAGACTCTTCGTCAAAACCCTTGTCACCCTGAGGCCGGGTTGAGCCGATCGCACTTTCTACATACCAGACAGGCCAACTTCCCAATGTGGTGTTCCATTTTGGTCAAACTGGTGTTGAGATCGAGGAGTTCTTTTTCTGCATTTTTGTCTTCAACCATTCGTCTTTCCAAGCAAGCGGGTCCTCGCCTGCCTGGAACTCCGTCTTTGTCCCCTGTGCCTATTCCTCCTATGTTTAGCCACAGGATGCCCACTTCTCCATCGCAAAGCAAGCGCAGGAGATCGCTGATTGACCGGGCTCTCCATGTCATCTGCATGGCGCTGAATTTTTGGCACTATGGTGGCGAGTTTGGTCAGATGCAGTCAATGTGGAGGGAGCCAAACAAGCAACACATAGTTTTGTTTGCGAGGGTGCGCTCCTTTATCAAGACGGACGGCCTACTTCCTTGTTTTGATGCATTGAAGGTGGGTCGAAGGAATCCAGAGATTTTTGCACGCCTTGGAGAGCTAACCGGGCTCCTCACACAGTTGGGTTGCTCATCCTCTCCCTATGACAAAGTTTTCGCAGGGGTTGAAGTGACAGCAAATACAGAGCTCTTCCCAGAGTTGACGCCCTACCGAGACTTGGATCCCAGCCGTCTGCGTCTTTTTGGCCGAGGTCATTGGGATGTCACAGATTTCCTGGATGACTCACTGGTGATGGCTTACAGAGAACCTGCGTCCATACACTGGGCTCGAATTCCAGAAAGCTGGGAATACCCAAGGATCAGAGATACCGTGGAAACTCTGGGTCAATTAGCTCACCTCTGGGACAAGCAGGGGCTTTTGATGCTACATCAAGAAGGTGTGGAGGGCAGGCCATCTTTTGAGCTCGTCCGCATCTTCAATTGCTACAAAGCAGTAGACCGAGACAGGCAGATAGGAGATCGTCGAGGCCGCAATGCCGTTGAGTTCAAATTGAAGGGCCCATCTTCCGATTTGCCTTCTGCGGTTGATGTTTGCGACCTTTGGGTTGACCTGTCTACTCAGAGGCTCTCCCTCTCGATCACGGACCGCCGTGATTTTTACCATCAACTGTGGGCAACTCGCGCGCGGGCAGTCTCAAATACGCTGGGACCTGGTCTCCCTCCAAGTTTGGTGGAGGACACTGACGCCTACCAGCAGTTCCTTTTGAGGCAAGCAACATTCAAGTTTCAGCGAACTCACCGTGGAGATCATCTGGAGAAGATTGCCAGCCATCTGCAGGAATCTGCTAGGACCTCGGGAGCAGTTGACAGGGCTGAAAGGTCCTCACTCCTTTGGGTGTCCTTTCAAAGTGTGCTGCAGGGAGACCATGCTGGCGTTGAGATTGCGACAAGCGCCCATGTTGGTTTGCTGAAGAGGTATGGGCTCCTTTCCGAGGAGACTATGATGAGAGCGAGCCGTCCAAGTTTCAGCAGAGAAGTTTTAGAGGGCTTGGTCATTGATGACTTCTTTAGCATCTCAGTTGACCCCAAAGGTACAGCAAAGGAATCGACCGCTTCCTTCAAGTCCTATCAGAAAGCGCAAGAGGCATACTCCAAGTTTGATATTCTGGGCTCCCCCGAGAAGGACATCATTGCAGAGCCGGCGGGGAAAGCAATAGGAGCTTACATCAACTGCAGCGAAAAGGCAGCCCAGCAAGGGTTATGCCTGGTCGGTGCCCCTCCGGAGAAGAGGTTGAGTTTGTCGCTCCTGACGCTTCATCTCTGTGGTCTCCCATATACAACGGTGTCGCTACATAGGTGCATCCTGGGGGCCTGGGTCTCTATGCTCACGTTTAGGAGGCCCATGATGAACTTGTTGAACAAGTCCTTTGCTCTGGTCAATGCCTATCAGGAATGGGAGGATACCTGCCTCATTCCGCTTCCAAGAGAAGTGGCATGTGAGCTTGTGCTGGTTTCTGTCCTTGCTCCTCTGATGCAGACAGACATAGCGGTCCCCTTTTCTCCAACAATATTTGCAACTGATGCCTCTGACAGCAGAGGAGCTATTTGCAGTACAGAGGCTACAGCGGAGCTGGCACAGCTGCTTAGCAAACATTGCAAGACGAAGGGGGCGTACACCAGGTTGCAATCAGAGTGGACAACCCTGAAGAGGAGAGTCTTTGCAGAGGATGCGGTCGAGGAGGAGCCAGCCCAGACATCAGTGCAGAAGCCCCTTGCGTTCACGTTCAGCTTTATTGAAGTCTTTGCTGGGGCGGCCAGAGTCACCCAATGCCTGGCTAACCTTGGAGTTTCCTGCGGTCCTCCTTTGGACCTCTCTTTTTTCTGCTGAGTACAACCTGAAGAGCATTCATATTTTGGAATGGTTATTTCATCTCATTGAGGAGGGCTCCCTGGAGGGCCTGATGATTGAACCTCCTTGCACCACTTTTTCGATCATGAGGAGACCGGCTTTGCGAGACTCTTCACATCCGTTTGGCTTCTACCCTCGTGAAGAGAAAACGCAGGATGGAAACATACTGGCTCAAAGAGGTTTGCAACTGATGTGGAAGGCTGGTGTTCATGGTGCTTCAGCCATCTTTGAGAGGCCCTTCACAGCCAAGACAAAGCGCCTGCCCTCATATAAAGCAGTTGCAGCCCTCTCGAATGCGACTGAGATCAGGTGTGATTCTTGCCAGTTTGGCTCCCCTCATCAAAAGTCCGTTGCTCTACTCGGCATCAATGCCAATATGGCCCCCCTTGGAACGGAGATGCAGAGGTTTATGCCGACATATCCCCGTGCAGGGGGTCTACACAAAGTCATCTGCCATCTATACAGAGGAGCTCGCTCAAACTTTAGCTGAGGTCTTCTACCAGAGCATCCGTTGTGCGTGTGAGGAGGATGATATTGCAGCTTTACCAGTGTCCGGCCTTGAGAACCAGTTGGTCAATGAGATCATGCTCACTAGCCCCTGGACCGTTGAGAGCTCTTGGAAGTTCAAAAAGGGTTCACACATCAATCTCTTGGAGATGAGATCAGTGGAGAAGCTCCTGGAGAAGAGATCAAAAAGGGGGCCTTCCAGGATAGTATGCATGGTCGACTCCTATGTGACCCGCTGTGCCCTGGGCAAAGGCAGATCAGCCTCCGTTGCTCTTTCCTCAATCATCCGGAGGATTGCCTCAACAATGGTGAGTTTTGGGCAGTACCTGGTTACTCCTTTCTGCCCTACCCGCCTGAACTGTGCGGATGATCCTACTCGGGACCATGAACTCAGGAGGCCTGTGAAGGGCCTAAATTGGCGGTCTTTGTCAGATGAGGAGCTATGGGCTTTGGCATCTATTAGACTCACCAAGCGATGGGCCTCGAACTGGATTAGGCTGGTTGTGCTTCTCATGGGTCCCTATGTTGCTGAGCTTTCCAACAGAGCACTATACAGATACTCTCGGCTTTCCCCATCCTTCGCTTCCCTATGCCCTTTCAACACAGAACGTTCCGCTCAACAGATTCACACTGGCGACAGCTTGGACTTCGATCAGACCTTGGGCTTCCCTGGGGAAGGGCCTTTCTTGGGCCACTCCTCGCCCTGGGTTTGGGCATTCAGCTCCATTGTTTCCTCTGGTGTTCTGTTTGACTTCGACGGGCCTTTTCCTCATTCCGCCATCCCGGCACCGCCTCCTGGGCTTCCCTGCTGGCGCTGGGGTCCTTGCTGGGTGCTGGGTGCTGTAGTGTTCTTCCAGGTTTTACCGGGCGCATACGCCATGGAGCCGCGAACCACTGCTGATCACGCTCGTGCAGCAATCAGAAGATCCAGGCCCGTGCTGCCGGAAGGCAGACCCACTCTGAACAGGACAAACAAATTGAGAGAAAGGTATTGGGAACAATTTTTAGCCTGGCTGGAATGTGAGGGCATAGATTTTTCTGCTCTTTTGGCTGACCATAGCCATTACATTGACGAGATAAACACGGTCCTGACAGCCTTTGGTCGTGCACTGTATAGAGCTGGCCATACAACCAGTATGCAGAAACAATAAACTGCCTCACCTCCAAAAAGCCTGCACTGAGACGGTGGATGCAAGGGAGCTGGGACTTAGCGTTCCAATGGATGCAAGCAGAGCCAACAGCTCACCATGTGGCTATGCCCTGGCAGGTTTTACTGGCAATGACAACGGTATGCCTAATGTGGGGGTGGCTCCCGCTTGCTGGAGCGTTGTGTTTGATGTGGGGAGCTTTGCTCCGGCCTGGCGAATTCCTGAACGCACTTAGGCTGGACCTACTTCTCCCTCGCGATGTGGAACAAACTATATCTTTTGGGATTTTGGCGATCAAAGAACCCCAAACTCGCCATACTGGTGCAAAACACCAAGCTGGAAAGATCGACGTGCCCGATCTGTTGGCTGTAGTGGACCTGGCTTTTGGCGACTATGAAGGTGGACGCCGCCTCTGGGGACACTCTGGCCAAACGTTGAGGTCAAGGTTCCAGGCTGTGTTAGCAGCCCTTCGTCTTCCTACGATGAAGGCTGGAGCACTTAAACCGCTCGACCCAGGTTCTCTTCGAGCTGGTGGAGCAACGTGGCATTTACAATGCACCGAGGACGGCGAGTACTGTCGCCGCAAGGGTCGTTGGTTGTCACAAAAGGTCATGGAAGTTTATGTTCAAGAAACCACTGCCCTCCTGTACCTCAAGAAGATCGATCCATGTGCACGTGACTTGATTCTGGCTATGGCGGGATTGTTCCTTCGCATTTTGGAACTTTGTCAATCATACAAAGCTTTGCACCTCCCCTCCGTGTTATGGTGCAACCTCCTGCAGACCGAAGCTTGGACGTGAAGGGAGACTACGGGATGAAGCAGAGGTCAAAACATGACCATCTGCCTGTGAACCTCAAAGAGGATGGTTGAAAAAGGTCCGTGCATTGAAGATG